CCCCCCCCCCCCCCCCTCGATCTCATCCAATTGTGTTGGCGTCGACCTTGTCGAACAACGAACCCTATCGACAACGCGTGTACGTGGACTCGGGCTTACCCTTTCGGCTTCGGGGCGGCGTGCGGCCTATGCTGCCGATCAGCCTGGGGATATGCCTTGAGACAGTGGGCCGTTTGGAGGTGGGTCTGGGGTGTTGGGCCGCGCCATCAGCCACTAGCCGCGGCGTACATCTTATTTGGAAGTACACACATCGAAACTCTTCTCATAACCGTGTGCTCTATGCGGTTGGGCGGTAATCGTAGCTGCAAGGCAACCCTTCAGGCCGACGTGAACATGGCGGTCCGTCTTGCTTCTTATTTGCAGGACTTCTGTTTACGTAGGCAGCTGAAGCGCGACATGTCTATGTGTCGGGCAGGGGCAAACGCAACAGCGTGTTCGAGGGCATCAAGCATTTGGGCATCAAGCCCGGTGCGCCCCGCCTCCAACCATGGGACAGCCGTGCGCTCACCAAGTTAGTTCATGGTCAAGATCTACGCATACTCAAAGTCAAGGTTCACGTGGTTTCATTGGCCAGCCGGTTAGTGCGGTCGACGCTTGTCATAGGTGACAACACACATACACACAAAAGAAATGGCGTATTTTCATTGGCCAGCCGGTTGGCACGGTCGGCGCTAATTCGTAACACGCACACGCGGGCACGCACGCAACGAAACAGGAGGCGCTCATCGCGTACTTGGAAGCGCAGCGGCTGGACCCGTCCACCGACGAGGCGGCGGAGCAGGCGGAGCGGGTGAGGGGCTTGATCGCCGCACAGGCGGCGGGAGCGGGAGAGGCGGCTCTGCCACCACCGTCCGCCTTCGCGGGGTCCGTCCCGAGCACGCTCCCGCTCGTCGCCGAGGAGGAGGACGAGGCGGTCCTTGCCGCGGCGGCGGCGGCGGCGGCAGCGGCGCGGGCGCAGGCGGACTCCAAGGAGAAGCTGGCCCAGAAGGCGGCGAAAGCGGCGGAGCAGGCGACGAAGGCGGCGGCGGCGGCCACCGCCGCCGCCGAGAGCGCGGCTTCGCTGATCTCGCCGGCGAGCAAGGCGCCCTCCGGGCTGAGCGTGGTCCCGACGGCGCTGGCGCTGGGCGGCGGCGAGGATGGGGGCGTCGGCGGGCGGGAGGAGGAGGACGTACTGGGAGAGGCGCAGCCGCCGACGGTCTGGACGAACGGGCGGAAGGCGGCGGAGCGTGACAGCGACAGCATGTCGGACTTGGGTGCCCAGCACGAGTTGCTGCTGCCCGTGGGTCTTAGGTGAGCGAGGCGGCGCGCGTGGCCTTGTTCGCGCGAGCGAGAGATGGCAGTTTGTGCGGAGAGCTTACACGCACACGATAGCCTGGCGCGCACGCACGCACCACCATGCTGTTAGTTTTCGTTGGACAGGAAGAGGAGGAGTACCGTGATATGTTATGTACCATTTTGAGTGTATTTTTTTTTGTACGGATGGGATGCGTCGTGGCGTCGTCACATCGGTGGTAGTGGTAGCAGCACGTTGGAAGCTCTGTTCTTATTTTCTCTGTCGTATTGTTGTATGGCTCGAGTATGGTGGGTTACCTCTGCCGCCACGTCAGTGTGTAGTAGGCATATGGACACACTACACACACACGCGCACACGCACACGCACACTGATTTTGGCGCATTGTAGACACACCGGCCGAGAAGAGTGGTCGGTGGTGTTTTGTCTCTCGTACAGATGTTCTGATAACAACAACAACAGATGACTGTTTTGGGGGCGGGAGGCTGGCGACAACAGAGCTGTGGTTTTGCGAACAAACAGCTGGAAATGTTGTAACGTTTCTTTTTTCCATCCTGCGAACGACTCTCGCGGCTGGCTTTACCCCACCGTCCCGTCTCTCTCTCTTGATCCCGCGGGGCGTATTTCGTTCCCAATTCCGGGAGGCTGGCGACAACAGAGCTGTGGTTTTGCGAACAAACAGCTGGAAATGTTGTAACGTTTCTTTTTTCCATCCTGCGAACGACTCTCGCGGCTGGCTTTACCCCACCGTCCCGTCTCTCTCTCTTGATCCCGCGGGGCGTATTTCGTTCCCAATTCCGCCCTGCCCATGAGAAATGCCAAATCTTCGGCGGGCGGTTACCCCTATTTGACCAAACCCCTGCTTACCAAACAAACCGCCAATCAATCTGTGTAGCGGACCGAAAAATGACATCAGACTAAATAAGTAGTGCCGTTCCGCCCTCGGCACACAGGAGGTCCTCCGGACAATGAATGGTCGGGAAGGCGCGCCGAGGAGGACGTCGACGGTGGGCTGGTCGAGCTCCGCGAGCAACGCGACGGCTAGGGACGCGCACTCAATCTATTGGCGGGAACGATTGGTTAGTAACTCACAAGTGACGCCGCCGGCCGGGCTGGATGGCTGGCTGGCGGGAGAGCCGGGGCGACAGTCTGGCTTGGTTGCCGGCGAGGATGGAGGAACGGTCTTTTTGCAGGGGGGTCGACAGGACACGCAGGCGGGGGGGCGGGGGCGGCCGGCCGAAGCGAAGAGCCACGCGTTTGGGTGTGGGGTTGGGCACTTGCTTAGCGAGTGTGCAACCGGGGAGAAGAGAACGTGGCGGAAGAGGGAGGAGGGGGAGAGAATTGTTGGTGCCGGCGGGGGCGACAGAAGAAGGGGACATTCGGTATCATACTTGGAACCGACCATGTAGAGTTTTGTGGGTGCGCGGGCCACCGTTGTAGAGCCAGGCAGGATATGCAGACAATCCACTCCTGTGTGTTTTGAGTGTGTGTTCAATCCTGGCGCCGGGGGCAAAGGGGGGCACACGAGTAATGTCTAGTATCAAGAGTATGTCGTCTCGTCTCGTCCTTGCTGGATGGTGGGCCACCAATTGCTTTTCGGTCATCGCATGTAATGTACGTCTCTTCTTGTCTCATGTGTTCCTGACGCCACTGGCCGGTCGTCTGTTGATCTCTTTGTTGCCAAGCAAGCACCCGAGGTTGTCGATCTCATTAGTGCCTACCTGTGCGTCGGCATCGGGCGGGTCGGTTTTGTTGTCGAGTAGGAGAGGAAAGCGTAGAGCGGGCAAGGCTGACTAGCTCGAGAGGGGTATCGTCAAGCGCAGCGCCGCGGAACCCTTCGGGCTCGAGCAGGGTCGTTTGCGACTCTCCGCCTGGACTCGATTGGGCTTCCAAGCCTGGGGCATAGTCCAAGCTTCGCCGAGCCTTGGCGGTCTATGCTCTCTTCTTGACGCTTCACGCGTTGTTTGAAAGCATCACCGTCCTTGCCCGTTCACCTGCTACAGGCGGTGCTCATGCGTCACAGCAGTAGCAGTGGACAGGCCTGTTCGAGTACAGCAGCAGCCGTGGTATATCTTGCAGGAAAGTCGTGGCGGAGTAAACGAGGCGCTAGGGGTTTGTGGACGCGAAGGCGTGATGGGGGGAGCGAAAGCATGTGAACCCGCATGCATACAACAGTACCTGGATTTGGATGGAGCGACTTTTCAGAAAGAGAAGTGCATCTTGCGTGATGAGAATGGACCATCGTACAAGAAGGTATTGTTCCTAGACAAAAAATTAGGNTGGGGGGGGCGAAGTTGAGGGGAGAGGGGGGCGCGGATAGGTTGGGGGGGTAGGTGATGCCTAGGGTTCTGTGTATCTACTTTGTTGCGCTGTAGCGTAATGTGCCTGATGGCACCGCAGTTGGTCCGTGTCGCGAAGCACAAGTCGAAATCGAACGAATCCGTGGTGTAGATGGAGTGCCTTCCTTCGTTTCTTTCCTCCGTCTGGTCTGTTCGGATGGGCGCACTTGTGTGTATGCCGTTGCCAATTGTTCGTTCTCGACCCACGGGAACAGTTCATACCATGTAGATTTGATAGTTGTGTTGTCGAGTCCGGGTTTTTTGTTCTGTTTTTCGTGGGGGTTTTACTTCACATGAACGGGGGGGTTGCCTGCCTTTATTTTTCGCGCATTCCATTCCTGCCAGTTACCCCCCCCCCTCCCCCCAATATAGACGGAGGCTTTCAGGATTTTTTTTTTTCGTTTACGGGCTGGTCAGCTAGTGCTTGCGGACCAGCCGGTAGGAGTGTGTGTGCGTGCGCGTGTGTGTGCATGTTTTTTCTTTTGTAGTTGTCTGGAAGCGGCGAAGAGAGATTTGCTGCTTTTTTCTTTTTGCGGGTGCGCCTGTATCTTGATGCGCCTGCGTCTTATTTTTCGGTGGAAGTTTTCTCTTCCCGCGGTCACGGAGGCGAGGACACGGGGTAAAATGCGGTTCCATGGTACGGTTCGGTACAGAGTCGTTTCCTTGGTACGGTACGGTACGGTACGGTACGGTTTGCCGGTAGAGGGCAGGGTGGGCACTACATGCAAGCATCGACCAAGGGTGGATGCGTTAGGCGCTAGGGCGGGTGGTTTGGTTTGTGTAGCTCGACCGATCACAGTTGAATGGAGCCCTCCGCGCGAAGCGTACGTATCTACATGCCGTTATTTTTTGTGATGCCTCCGCCTCCTCTATCTCGGTTAGTTCGTGTTATCACCCCTCGATTTGATTATTCGTTGTCCTGATTCCATAGTGGTTTCGAGTTGTTTCGAAGTAAAAGCGCGGCCACCGCCTTTGCCTGCTGTCTTTGTCTTCGGTATGTCTGTATAGTGCGGTCTGCGCCCGCGGCCCGTCGACGGCGGTGCACCCGCTGTAGGTACACAAGGGTATCGACTGGATCGCTCTCAGGGCGAATAGTGTCGGTGTAGAGTAAATCTCTTTCTGGTTGCTCCCTGTGCAGGGAAGAGGTATTATTCTGGGATCTTGAGGTTCTTACAAAATTCAACAAAGCAAAGGCCTACAATAGGTAATCAATGTAGTGGTGAATTTTTCTTTCTTGGAGCAGGGGAGTTTTTTTCAAACCTTCGACTTCCGCGGGGAGCGAATAGTGAACGCCAACATAGGAATGCGGTAGACCCACCCGTGTAAGCATCGCGCTTACACACACCAGGGCGGCGCACGCTTGGCACGGATGGATCGATGGACTTTCGTGTGTATACCACTTCTTTCGATTGATTTGGCCAATTTTTTCGGTTCACCGCACGCGGACGGATGGGCAGATATATGAACAATATTACCATATTTTCCCTCGCGTAGGCCGGTACGACGAGAAAAACGGTGACGACCGGTGTGCCTTCTTCGTCACCCTCTGGACTGTTTAGACAGCAAGGCGGGCTTCACACTCTGGGCGGGGCTCACCAACCGCTTCATTTATGTACATCTAACAACTATACCTGCTGTGTAGCGCCGCTCGGAAGGGCGCGACAAAAACGCCGCCGGAAATACTTCGTTCTCGGGGGATGACACAACAATTTTGAGCCTTTTTCATCATCCTCATCGCTCGCAGTGCCTGCAGGTATGTATGTATGTACCTCAAGGTAAAACCGTCGCTTCTTCTTTCGCCTTCCCTACTTCGGGGGAGAGGTGACCAGACGTCAAACAGGCACGCATGACTACTGTGGCGCATGATGCCTCTATGTTGCTCCGCCCCGACAAGAGGATATGCATAGTCTACTGCTGTACATCCGTTCATCCTTTTTCTGCTTCTCGTTGTCCAACGGCAAGTAGAAGGGAACGGAACGTCGCACACTCACCCACGAAAGTCGAAGCGCCTTTTTGGCTACCCCATCACGACGCCCGGGTTTGAACCCACGCCTTATCGCCTAATGATCACTTCGAAGTATTATCCAAGTTTTCGATTTATCACTAAGGGGGTGCCTGGGACAGGAGGTGTGGCCGAACACTTCGTTGTTCGTTCGGTATTCCCGAGGCCACCAACATCTGAAATGGGGGAGGGAAGGAGCAAATGCAAGGACCTTGCTCCATGCTCTCTTACTCGGGTCAACAACATCGATGTTTGTTGCCATATTCTTTTGTGCGTTCTGCTCGTAGGTTAGCGTGTTTCAGGAGGGGCTAAAAGCAAGCAGCGAACGCGTGGAAGGTAGAACGTACGACGTGTGTAGGTTGTTAGGTTTCGTCAGATGGAACACTCGTAATTCATCAATTGATGTCTCAAGAACCGCTCTTGGCACAGGGTCAAACCTGGAGAGAAAAGAGGTGCGCGTCAAGCATGAAACCGCCCAAAAACATCGCTGACATCAAAGGAACACAAGCAAGCACAGACATGCAACAGGCAAGACCAGAGCACGCAAAGCGGTCGCGGAAAGTGGAATGGTCCAGGCTCGTTTCACACGTGAAATCTAGTAGGCATGTAAAGGTCGACATCCTCAATCGATCTAGACACTACATCACATGGGGTTCGTTTCGGCGCTGACCAAAAAAAGGTACCCCAACCCAAAACAGGCCCGAAAACTAACCTATCTCATCCCATCCCAAGCCGCAGTTTGGTACTCAGCAGCAGCTGGCTGCAGCGGGGTGGATTGCAAGGCCCCCGAGGTTTAAACAATCTACACACGTATACACGTAAGCGTGCTACGCAGAACGAGTGAAATCGCACAATTGGACACGTTAAAATATTGAATCAAAAAAGGACGTGCAAAATCGATCCCTATCGAAAATCTTACTTTTACTTTTTTCTTAAGAGATGGATCCGTTGGGTTGTATTCAGAAAAAAAAAGAACAACGACAACTGTGGTCATATACAAATCCGTGGCCCCCCACATCACCACGAATGGATCCACGATGCAGTTCGTAATAATCTCTCGTTGAACCGAAACACATCTTCCAAACACGCCCATATTTTCAAACAAATTATTTCGTTACTAGCCCGTTCTTGCTCAAGCAACAAATAAATAAGCCCTGACAAGCAAGCATATAGTTCACATTTCCGAGCATACGAAGAGCATACACTTGGCCAAAAACGACAAGCGGGTGCTTGCCTCAACAGAAGAGAAGAACTGAGCAAAAGAAGAGCAGAAGGGACGAACAAAGCCTAGCGCGCGGGGCACGAGACCCGACGCTCGAACGCGAGGTCTTCATCTTGATCTCATGCTCGACACCCCCTTCCCCTGAGCTTCCTATGAAAAGCCATTGTCACCCATCATCACCCACCCACCCGCCCCGGCAAAACAAAACGCTTCATTCCTAGCGCCCGCAACAACGATCAAGGTCGCTGCAGCAAACAAAGGACAGCCCTGCCACTGTAACTGTTGGGGGGGGCAGCAGCGCAGCTCGCGCTCAGCCAATAACAAGAGGCAAGCACACACACACAGAGCGAGAGAGAGAGGCTTGTCCAACAGAATCAAGACTATAGGAGAAGGTCGTCCACCTTCTTGCCGAGCTTCGCCTCCAGCACGGACTCCGTGACCTCCCACAGCCGGGGCGGGTTGGCGGGATCCAGCGCGAGCTCCGAAGGCGTCTCCTCCTTCATGTTTCCCCAGTACTTGCCCGAGAACTCGGGGCCGGCCAGGGACGGGTCGACCGCACACCGGATGGTGGTAAGCGCTCCGGTGAGAGGGGTAGCCAGGATGAATCTGGACAGGGGTGCGGTCAGCCGGGTCACGCGAGATATCAGGCTCGAGTCCGTCATGTTCCGCATGAGCTCTGTGTTCACGACGCCCGGGTGGCACGCATAGGTGCTGATGCCCCGGCTCTCCAGGCGCTTGGCGAACTCCTTGGCGTCCAGGATGTTGGCGAGCTTGGACCGCCCGTAAGCCATCCAACTGTTGTACGTGTCCGGCTTCTCGTAGTTGAAGTTGTCGAAGTCCAGGGTGACCTTGGCCTGGCCGGGGGGTTGCCTATGCCCCAGAGACGACAGGAAGATCACTCGACCGCCGTCGTTGATCAGGGGCTCCATCAGCCTCGTCAACAGGTGCCCGCCGAAGTGGTTGACGCCGATTTGCATCTCGAGGCCGTCCGCGGTCTCCCGCCGCTCGGGGATGGCCATGATCCCGGCGTTGTTGATGAGGACGTCGACCTTGGTGCCGGAGGCCTTGAACCTCTGGGCGAAGGCGATCACCGACTGCAGGGACCCCAGGTCCAGGACCTCCAACCGCACGTCGACGTCGGTCAGCCCGTCGAGAAGGTCCACGCCCTGGGAGAAGGTGTACGAATGAAACAGGCGGGCAGGAGATAGCTTGAAAGTGTTGTGGGGAAGAATACGTATCGGTTCGCTTAGTGGTACGGAAGACAAAAAAACGGTAGTACCATAAGACGGGGGTGCATTGGCGATGTAGATATAGGGTGCACCGTGCGGATCGCTTCTTCTGTTATCCTGTCGACACCATCGACTTGAATCTGCCACGAAAATGCGCGGGGTATGTTATATTAGTATCGGCACAGCGCCACGCACAGCGGGATCTTCACGAACGCGCGTCTTGAAGAGGTGGCGGGGTGGGGACACCAAGTATGTTTGGCTGGGTAGGATATCCTCCGAGAGAGGCATATGCCTCTGTTCAGAACTCCCACCCAACCCCGCCATCAATTGCCACGCGTCCAACAATAGGTACCAGGTCCTCCCCGTCGGCCCTATCATCAACATCGCCGTGTGCGTAGCATTGGGGGAGTCGTCCCGGTGATCGACATACATACTGTACCGCGTCTGGGGCACGTGTGATAACATACCACACACCGCCCGGACAGGTTCTCAGTACAGTAATCCACGACGACGATGATGCAAAAATCAAAAATCAAGATGATGACGCGTTCTCGAAAATCTGCTTTCGACGAGAAGGTGCCAACGACGCCATTTTCGGCGACTGGTTGCTGGCTGCAGAGTAGTCGAGCATTGAAAATCGGCCCGGGGGGGTGCTATCTTACGTCATGTCAACTACGGACGTTACTGTACCAGGCAGTCTAAACGGTTTCTCTTTGAGACGGTTGTTGCTCGGTCCCCCCGGGGGTGGCGCAAGGTGGCGAGCCGAACGTACAGAAGTCTTAAACCTCGGAAGTGGTATTTAACAGTGCTCGTTTACGTAGGTTTCAGGGACTGGCTCTATTTCCTCCCGGGAATGTGCTCCACATGAAGGAAGCTCGGCGAACCAAACATCGAAAACCACAAAAACCGGCCGGCCTGCCGGCGTCAGGGTGGTCTTGTCACCGCAATTTTCCATGGAATATCGAAAATGCCACTGATTGAACAACTGACCGATGTTCCGCTGACAGATTTTCGATACCGTCGTGGTCCCGGCTGAGCGGTTCCCTGCTTAGCGGGATGCCATGAATAGCTGTTATGAAATCTCGTGACGCGGCTGCACCACGGTGTAGCGGTTATACAACCGTTAAACCGATCTTGCCCTCAATAGCGGTCATTAGGCATGTTGTCAACCACCAATAGCGGCCATTGGTCCGAATGTTGCGGAAACCAGAACGCGCTTCGCTTGCATACACTCACAGCACACAGCGACATTGGTCAGGCGGTTAGCGGTTGATGCTCATAATAAAAATCAAACAGCGAGATACACACACAGTGCCGTTTTCATTTACGTGTCCAGATATATTACCCGCCATGACCGGACACCGGCACTATACCGGGCTATATAGCCATTATATATAGGCCTACTACTGTATCAAGATGAGCTTTCGACGCTGCTCTTAATCGGGCAAAAATGGGCTTTCCCGATTAAGCGGTTCATAACCCGAAAAGAGGTTTAGCGGCGATGCCCTGAATAGTGGATGTACAATTTCGTGACACTCTATTGTATGGACCACTAAACCGGGACCACGACTGTATGGAGGATCGATTGTTTTCCGAGAGCGAAAGCGACATTCGAAAGCGTGGACGGGAACACCAAGGTGCCCCCCAACTGCTAGCTATACTCTCTAACGTCGGAGATGCCTTGATTTCGCTACTCACTACATTGGGAAGACAGCTGGCACCCAGCAAAGCGCTGCATACTTTCGTTGAGCGAGATATTCTCAAAAATTGAGAGACAGAGAGGCCATCGACACAAACTATCAAGAATATATTTCTCTGCCAACGGCATCGGTTTCGGCTTTCCTGCATCACACCGGATTTTCGATTTCGATGCGTGCACCATCGGCGTTTCTTTGAGAACAGGAAACTCGAAACCTAAAATCGAATTCGATTTGAAGTTCTGTGGTGACTCCCACCCTCCCTCGAGTCAGTGGGACAACATTTGGCAATGCTCAAGATAACACCCGAAATCGCCCACCAAGAACAAATTAACATAGAATCCCTGTACGCAGCAGCTTGCCACGAGCGGATCGACAAATCTATCTTTCGTCGCGCTTCCTTCTGCTGAGAGGCACGCAGAGGGCTCGTGGTTACATTACTTGTATCGTGCGTGCCCTTGGGACTCGCCGCGCCAGCAGATAGATGCAACAACAGCGGATATCTAGCATACATACGAAGTAGAAGTTGTTGACTTCACATTAAACCGTATGCCAGTTGCTAAATGCCAAAATCTAGCAAAGACTCTCGGCCCGTGGTCACGAAAGTGCTAGAGCCATCTGAGGATCTAAAGAACACGCACACGTAGCAAGAAAAAGGTGTACAAGAGCCCGAAGAGGTACTACTACACCTATATATAATCCCTGCAGCACCGTGCGCGTGCCCAAAACTGAACTACACGTCCGTCTCACCGTTCGACTACAGCAACATCACCCCCTACCTGTCCCACTCTGTACCAAAACGAATGATTGCCGACTACAGCATACTTGCTGTCTGAAGTGCTGTCTGTACAAAAACACCATGGTAGGCATGGAACAAGAAGCTGGCGGGGCACAAAGCTGCTGTCTGAAGTGCTGTCAGAATGTGTCTGCGGACGTACAGTGAAAAAGAACAACCAACCAAAGCCATGATTGCAATGGACAATCACCCGAACCTCTCCCGCACACCTGTGTTAGGCACGCAGTGAAAATATCGACAATAGCTAAGAATCGTTCCACATTGAAGGGGTCTTCCACGATCAGGCACATAACCAAGGCACCCGGGTTAGCCACGCCATCTCTGACGGGTCTCTCTACAAAACCAGTGACGACGTCATCACATAGAACCAACACCGAAAATCAGGAAAAAAACGAGAAAAATTGACAACACAGATCAGATATAAATGTTTGTCCGTGCGCCACGGGTCGATGTCGCCCGCATGCTCCGGTGCCGCTGCTCCGTCCGGCGCCGCTGTAGTCAGCCCGAGCATAACGCCACTCGACCTGCTCCGTCCGTACACGCTCTCGTTGCTGTCCTTCCCAGTCGGTTCCTCGCTTTCTCCCTCGTTGCACTCAAGGTTCTTGGTCTGAAAAATAAAAATTCTCGCGCCGAAGGGGTCAACCAGCCCAGTTCAGCTCGTCGCCACCTGCTCCCTCCTCCTTTGATGGCGAAGCCAGGTTACTGAGGCAATGCAGCGCCCTCTAGCCAACCTAGGGCCGTGTACATAGTTCCCGTCCACCTTCTGACGGTGTCTGCCTCCGCGCACAAAAAATGAGATGGGCATCGCTGCCTACGCCGACGGCCAGAGGCCCGCGCATCTACATTTTTTCGCCTGACCCCATCAGTGCCGACCCAACTACACCACCACGCGCATGCCTCGCGGCGGATATGCGCAGCAGCAAGAAGGTTTCGGTCATCCCTTGAGGGTGAGTCTAGCCCTGCTCGCCAGAAAGACCCCCCCCTTCACTACAACCCATGTCTAAGCAAAAGCTTGTCGAGGAGCGAGGGGAAGAAGGGAGAGTAGAAGTACATGTACATAAACCAACAGGTGGGCGTTGCGGGCCAATAGCGGGAAAAATTCGCCGCTCGAGAAGAAATCACCCCGAGAGCCTCCCCAAGCCCAAGCCCCAACGGGCGGCCTTGAAGACGATGCACAGCAGCAGCAGTTAGTTGTGACATGATCTGCTTTCGGAAAGGAGCACGCACACACAGCAGACACACAGACGGCAGGCGGTTTGAGACGCTTCGCAGCAGCACCCACCTCTTTGACGGGCTTCTCCAGTGCCTCCGTCCTCATCTTGTCGATCGCCTGTTGCCCCCTCTCGGCGCTGCGGCACGCCAGTGTGACCGCCGCCCCCATCTTGGCGAGCTCCCGCGTGGTCGCATACCCCAGTCCGGTGTTGGCACCGGTCACAACGAAGTGCTTTCCGCGGAGGTCCTGGCAGACGGACTTCGCCTTGCAGTTGGTGGAATGCGCGGAGCCCATGGTGGTGGTATGGAGAAGAGAGAGGAGATTGTCTGTGCTGCCGGCCGGCCGCGTGTTCGTAAAGGAAACTGCTGCAAGGAGCAAGTTGCAGTGCGAAATGCGACTTGAGATTGATTGCGGCGCGCGTTGTTGTCCGGATTCAGTTCTAGGGAAAAAAGATACTGGATGACCATGATCGTATCAGATGAAGTATAGATCTACTCGTTGCCGTCGCTACTCTGTAGACTATGAGGAACAGCGCTTGATTTTCCTGTCCACACTCACAAATAAAGTAGGAGGGAATCCCTGAGCTGGAATTCCTTGAGCCGAAGGGTGGGGTCAACGGGACCGGTAGCAGGCAGCAGCAGCAGTCGCAGCAGTGTGGCAACAAGAGGCAGGGCGGCCCGCACACACGGCGAGAGCGGGAGAAAAGAGGGCGCTGGAGAGGAATTGACCGCCCGAACCGATGCTCGACCAATCAGAGGGCGTTAAAGGCCGGAAAAGGAGCTGCGGAAAAGCGGAGCAGAGGACCGAGCAGAGGGCAGAGTTCCTCTTTCATGAAAACACGCTTTTTCCAACATAACTCCCGATTTCACCGCGCTCGTTCCCGTCGGGCTTTTTCTCTGTCGGGCGGTTGTGTTGTCCCGTTGTCAAGACACCGTACTCCCCACCACGGAAAGCGAACAGGAGAGGATGGATAATGAGTGAGTAACTCTCGGGTATGAGGTGCTTCGTGCGTTCGGCGAGGTTCCGGGGGATATTAAATTTGTTTGTTGTCTTCCTCTATGCTGAACACGGCGGCGAATGCAACCGGAAAACAACCTGCCCCACGTGTTGCGGTAGTCTGTCTCATGAGCGCAAGGCGGGCCTTGTTTCTCTCCTCTCTTCTGTGTTTGTTCTGATCCCCATGTAACGAAGCTGAGTTTCGAATGACTTGGTGCCCCACCGCCCCGCCCTAGTTTTGTTGATGAGTGTATGTCTCCCCCGCCCCTAGGACCCCTCCAGAAATATCCTACGGCAGTAGGTCTTTCCGCCCCTCTTGTGACTTCATTTTATTCCTCTTGAGCCGGTGAGAAGCGGGTACGGTCGTGTGTCTGTGACTGAATCGTAGCGGCACGACCGGGCCACCCTCATGCCCCTCCTTCCCTCTGCCTTTACGGGTTTCGCTGGTACTGGTGCGATTCACTCCCGGTGGCCGGGAGAGAGAACAAGCTCTCGATGACGATTTGATGGATGCCTCTGTTTTGACTTTTGACGGGCCACGCATCTGAATCTGGAATCTTCCCCTTTTCCTCTCCGAGAAACCTGTGCAAGATGGCGTCTTGACATCCAAACATGTATGCGTAGGATACAGCGTTTTGTGAAGCACGTATTGAAGATGTGTCGTACCAGTTGTTGCGTGAGCAAATACGTCTGATGGGACGCCGCTCCGTTTTCATTTCACGAGCACGAGGAAGGCGTATAGACTACGCAGCAAGCACACTAAAGAATGCACCATGTTGTGCATCTTGAATGCGGCGGACAGAGGTTAACACGCCTTTTCACTGGACACTTTCCGTATCGTATGCGACCGAGTGCTGGAACGGTAAGTAAGATTTTTGCCCGAAACAAGCGTGTAGCATTTTCTCTTGGATTTTGATGCGGCTTCTCTCGCGCCCATGAGGACGGTACCGAATCAGCGAAGCGTTTGTCCGATTCAAACCTTTTCGAGCATCCAACACTCTTTGTGTTTGCCTGCCTAACTTACAACCGTTGCACGTTGTCGCATCGATGTCACGTCACCGGGGGCAGGTTCGGCGACGACGATGGGCTGCGGCAGGCGCGCAGCCGTCGGCGGTTTCAGACAGGCCTCGTGATTTTTCTGCTGTTCTTTTTCATGGACGCCAGGACGCCGCAGGAGACGCAGGACCGAGGCAAACGCGCCGCACAGGTGTGTTTTCTTGTTGTGCGTGTTGGCATAGACCGCGCTACCCGGCTGAGGTGTGTGTGTTTTGTGTGTGTGTTTTGCTACTTAAGATCGACCGCGCTAGCCCGCTGGCCAATGAAAAGACACCAGTCTAGTAGCCGGATTATGTGCAAGTGTGTGTGTGTGTTTCTTAATAGCATCAAACGAGGTAACCGGCTGACCACTGAAAATACGTCTGGGTAAAATACGCGAACACGGTTTCTATTCAAAGGGCGAGGGTTCTACCGACGGGGGGGGGGGCGCTGGAGTTGGATGGCAAAGTTCTGTTTCTGCTGAAGTACATATCCGTGTGTCTGCGTGTGTTTTTGTTGTTTGGCATCGACCGCGCTAACCAACTGGCTAATGAAAAGGACGTCGGGGGTCAGTGAGGCTAGAAAACAAGAAAAAGTTCTGTAGGCCATGATCCGGGACTCCGTGAGAGGGGTCGTGGGGGAGGCTACGCTATTTTCCGGTTGATTGGCAGAAACGGTGCATAGCAGATGGAGGGGACTGACTGCACTTGTTTACCGAGGTTGTGTGTGCGTGATTGTGTGTTTGGGAACCCGTTCTCCGATCTGCGACCAGGCCAATGGGCTGGCCGAAATAAAGCACATTCGTTGTCGGCCATTGTGCACACCTTTGATGATTTTCTTACTGTTGTCCATGTGTCTGTCTATCTGTCTGATGGCTGTAGTTCTGCTCTCTGCCGTGGGTAGGGTGTAAATTATTAAATGGTGCCTGCGTCTCTGGTAAATATACTCAAAAGTTTGTTCGGAAAATGGATCGCGATTTTTCTACCTTCGCGTGATACGGTAGAAGTTCACAGTACCCCCATGGGTCGTGCTTCTTGTTGCCTCCGTCTTGTTTGCGTTGACGAATATGCATCGCATGCGATTTATGTTGTACAAGGCCAAGATGGTGCTCGACGCTCTGTACGCCTCGGATTAATATGAAGTAGCCAACCGGGGGTAATTCTTGCTCATAAATTTCTCCATGGAACACGGTTGCTGCTCAAATGAGCGCCGTGAGCGCAAGGCGGTCATGGGCAGTAACCACTCGGGGTATAGTATAGCTGCTTCATACGTTCCGCGGTGTACGAAGCGGCGAGCACCATGTTGGCCTTAGCGCAGATAATCGGACAAGTCATGGGACACCGGGTCGATCTCCCATGACGACTTTCATCTTGCCTTTCTATGTGTGCTTTCGTCAATGCGTGAGCAGTGGCATATGCGCACCGTAAGGCGTAGACGCTCCCCCCCCGTCCCTTGGGATACATCGGCTTCGACAAGTTGGCAACCTCTACTCTTTGACTCTGCTACTACGGTCTGTTCGTTCCGCTTCCTCCGCGGAGTTGTTCGTCACCCGTTTGACCATGATGGACACGGCGGCCTTGTGGGTACACGAACTCATGAGCTCCGAGGAACAAGGGGAACTTATTGACCGTAGTTCCATAGTCAAAGAGAAGAGGTGTCCAACCTGTCGAAGGTGATGTATCCCCAAGGGACGGGGGGGGGGGG